TTTGAGCTCTACACATGCATGGTGTTATTAATAATCACACAATTCTATTAGCTGCTGGTATTTACCTCGATTTTACACAAGTTGAACCCTTGAGAGGTTAACTCCCCAAAGAACACTGTGGTAAGTAGAAGAGTCAGAACCTGAACCCATCTCTCTCTGATCTTATTTATTTGTTATATTAGTGACTGAATAAATGGTTTCTTACAGTTGCTCATTTTTAACTTTCTTGAGTTGAGATCTTAGTTCATTAATTTTCTATCATCTTAAGTATTATTTTACGTGCATCACACATTTTCTGTAATACAGTTGTCCCCCATTATCTACAGGGGGTACCTTTCAAGACCTCCAGTGGATGCCTGAAGTCAGTGATAATACCAAACCCTATATACAGGGAGGGAAAGTAATACAATAATAAATAGTAATACAGAAATAAATTCTGGCCCAGTCGGTGTGGCTCTGTGGTTGAGCGTCGACCCATGGTCGCCAGTTTGATTCCCAGTCAGGGCACATGCCAGGGTTATGGGCTTGATCTCCAGTAGGGGGCAAGCAGGAGGCGGCCAGTCGATGTTCTCTCTCATCAATGTTTCTATCTCTCTCTCCCTCTCCCTTCCTCTTTCTCTAAAAATCAATAAAGAAAAAAATATTTTTGGACTCCAGTTGACCACAGGTAACTGAAACTGTGGGAAGGGAAATTGCGGATAAGGACCCCAGCTGTATTCTGCCTTTTTGGTGTTTTGTTCCAGGTATTTTTAAATTTTAATTTATTGACTGAGATTATTTTGTTTTTTGGGTGATGGTGGTGGTGGTTCTTTTTTTGTTAATCCTCACTCAAGACTACTTTTTTCAATTTTCAATTGATTTTTAGAGAGAGAAAGGAAGGTGGGTGGGAGAGAGAGAGAGAGAGAGAGTGAGAAATATCCATGTGAGAGAGAAACATCAATCAATTGCCTCCTGCATGACCCCTACTGGAGATCGAGCCCATAACCCTGGCATGTGCCCTGACCGAGAATTGCACCAGGAACTTTCAGTCCATAGGACAATGGTCAATCCACTGAGCCTTACTGGCCAGGCAAGGATACTTTTTCCTTTGATTAAGTAGGGATTCTTATTATCCGATTTTTCTGATGGGCAAGCTGAGTCATCGAGGTTAAAGAAAAGTCCCTGGCCCGTTTGGCTCAGCTGCTGTTTTGCATCGGCCTACAGACCAGTGAGTCGAGGGTTTGATTCTGGCCAAGGGCACATACTTTAGTTGTAGGGTTGTGCGGGAGGCAACCAGTCGATGAATCCCTCTCACATAGATGTTTTCCTCTCTCCCTTTCTCTCTTTCTCTCTCCCTCCCACTCTATCTGAAGATAAATAGAAAAATATCACCGGTTAAAGATTAAACAAAAAAAACGGCCACAGTCATTTGTCTGGCAGGTGGCTGAGCTGAGATTTAAGCCGAGGCAGTGAGATTCTGGAGCCTGGTTCTCAACCACAGTGATATGTTGCTCTTGCAAGTCTCTGTGAAGCCACACTGGACATGGCGGCTCTGAATCTCAGCTGCTGTAGGTATTTAGACTCTGCCCTTGTTCTGTGGGTGAGTCTACAGCTGCAGTGTTTTTCCAGTTTTGACAGAGGAAGAGAGATTTGTGCCTTTTTCTGCTGGTCTTTTTTATATTTCAGAATAACTTCTGGTCCTCTTGCTGCCCTGTAATTTTACTTTTCGCCACCAGTTCCCATTCCTTTTTTTAAATACATTTTTATTGATTTCAGAGAGAGAGGAAGGGAGCTGGGAGAGAGAGATAGAAACATTGATGAGAGAGAAACATCGATCGGCTGCCTCCTGCATGATCCCTACTGGGGATCGAGCCTACAACCCAGGCATGTGCCCTGACTGGGAACAAACTGGCGACCTCCTGGTGCATGGGACAGTGTTCAACCAACTGAGCCACACAGGCCAGGCCCAGACCAGCTGTGTTGGTTGTCCTAGTCTCCCCTTCCCTCCTTTACTATGGTTGTTGGGGTTCTAGCTCACCTGTAATACCTCTCTTTCCTTCTGTGCCTGTTCCTTTCTTTAACCCCACCACTTTTTGAATTCTTAATTGTTGTTCTCCCCTCCAGCATGCTTCTTATTTTCTCTCCAAACTATTTGTCTTGTTCAGTATCTGATTTTGAAGGAAAGTGCCTCAGGGCAGGGATTGCCTTGTTGTGTTGTTTGTCAGTGTCTAGTGCTGCATGAATTAGCATCTGTGGAGAGTTTTGTGCATACTGATTATTATTATTGAGATACAAAAATGCTTCCTGAACTATGAGGAAGCATATTATTAGTCTAATTGCCAGTACATGTTCTTTAAAAAAGAAGCCGCCTCCCTTTCTGCCAAGAGAGGATCAGATCTTAGAAAGAAGCCATAATTTAGGACTCATTCTTGGCTATTGTTTTAATGCTTGTTTGCAAGACAGTAAGGTCCTGTTGGTCATGAGGACCTATTTGGACTATTTGTGCCAGTGATCAGAAAGGCAGGAGTGATCTTGGAACCACCTGCTTTGGTTTGCTTTGGCCCAGAATCTGTTATTTCCTCGGTGGCATGGTTAAAGTCAGCAAACGGTATTCATTTCTCAGGAGGTTTAAAGTAAATTTCATTCATATTTATGTGGATGTTTACTGCTGGAATGAATCAACAACTTTATTAGCATTTTAGGATGTAAAAGGAGAGGCTTTTAAGACTTGTTGAATGTTAATGTGGACGTGTGTGTCACAAAGACTTGTTATGGAGCTATGATCCTTTCCACTGCTGGCTTTGAGACAGTTTCTTGGGTTAAAGTTCTTTATAACTTGTTGGCCAGGTTACCCTGAATGTGAGATTTAGTAAGTACATGTTGATTAACAATTTAATGAATGTCCTTTGAAGGAAATGTAACTCAGAATAAACTGAAATGATGTTAAACTTATCCATTGAAGTTACCTGCAGGTTTTCAATAGACTATAGTGGTGCTTTTTCTAAGGAAAGAAGCTTGTTTATCACTTACTGAGTATCCATGTCTAATGAGACAGTATAATGAGCGTTGCTCAACTGTGTAGCCATAATTGATATAGCCGAGGTGTTTGAGATGGACTCAGGGAATACGGGACTACTTTCCATCTTCAGCTACACTTGTGTGCATTGCCCCTCCCAACCCTGGGACCCAGTGTCTTCCTTGCCTTCAGGCTTTTGATGATTACTGTAGAGCAAGTTGAATCAGACAACAAGCACAGCTCTTTTTTCAGATGGTTAACTCCCTTTGGGGAGGGACTAGGTTTCCTTTTCCAGGGCACCCAGTGGTGTCCTGCTACTCTAGTACCTGAGGCCCAGGAATAGATAGCCCATCATGTGCTGGACAGTTACAGGTCTGAGGAATGCCCTGTTTGCACGGTTCTCAGGTCTGGCTGCACTTTAGAATGTCCTGGGAGCCTCTTTAAAAAGCTCCGGTGCTGGAGCTGTACCCCAGTTTACAACTGGGGAAATGGGGGAATGACTCCTGTACGGCCGTGCACACTTATATGTTATTAAAATCATAGCATTAGGTGGCAGGGACAGATCTCAGTTGAAATGCCCATTGATTTTGGACTGAGCAGTGGAGAAAAAAGGTGGGACACCTGACATTCACTGACTTTTGAAGGATCTGCCATGTAGTACAATGGTGTGTGACGGAGCCCTCTTTAGTGCCTTCCACGCTGTTAATATTGAGGAGGGACTGTGTTGTCAACGCACAGTCTGGATAGCTTGCACCCCTTACCCAAGCCAGGACTTGTTAGTTCAGTGTATGTGGCTAGTGGACAGAATGGAACAGTTAAGCCCTTTTATATTTTGATAATAGATATTTAATTACCCTTTTGATGTCTTTTTTAATTTAACTTATATTTTTCAATTACAGTTTACATTCAGTGTTATTTTGTATTAGTTTCAGGTGTACAACATAGTGGTTTGACAGTCTTATACTTTACCAAGTGTTCCCCTGATCTTTCTAGTACCCAATGATGAAAGTGAATTTTAATTTTCAAACGTGGTTACAGTACTTTAAAATTTTTAGATAGACAGACAGAGAGCAGCATTCAGTTGTCATTTCCTTTGTAATTATTGGGGGCAGAGGGATAGAAAGAGGTGCAACTGTCATCATCAACATTTACTTAGAAACTATAGTGTGTGGGCCCTTTTTTTTTTCATTATTGATTTTAGAGAGAGTAAGGGAGACGGAGAGAGAGATAGAAACATTGATGAAAGAGAACATCAACTGGCCACCTCCTGCATGCCCCCTACTGGGGATCAGACCCTTAACCTGGGCATGTGCCCTGACCGGTAATTGAACCAGTGACCTGTTGGTGCATGGGTCGATGCTCTACCACTGAGCCATACTAGCAGGGCATTGGGGCCCTGAAATACAAAGGTTGAGCCTATGTCTTCCAGAAGTTGTTCTCTCGGAGGGAGGGGAGGATGGGAGGGTGGATGGATCACAACATCCTGAGATTAATTTTATTTTATTTACTTTTCTAAGTAGGAAATTTAATAAACGTATCCTGATGACCATTTTAACAAATATCCTTTTATAAGAAGGCGAACAACTAAGAATAACCTCAGGCTGTGTGCATATATCGGTGCTTGTGTATTACTGTGCAATGTGTAGGCTGAGTAAGTAGGGACCGAATGACAAGTCGCACAGACTGAAGTGCTGCCTCAGAAACTGAGATTAAGTGAAACAGTAAACGTGAAATTATTAGCACAGTGGTTGACACATAGTTAATGCTCAATAGTTTTCATTATCCTTACTTATTATATCACTACTGCTATAGGAATTCAGAGAGAAAAGATGACTATGGGTTAGGGAGATCAGGGAAGGAGGATAGCATTGTTTAAATAATACTTATTGCATTTTTTTTTTATTTCGATATCTTTTACCTAAGACTTGAATTGCAAATGGCAAATACTTTGGAAGGTACCATATCACATAAGTACACATTAACAATACGTTCTCTTTTATTTCAGGAACTTTATATCGCTGTAGGAATATCTGGGGCCATCCAACATTTAGCTGGCATGAAGGACAGCAAGGTAATCACACAACAGCCTTGATGCTGGGGGGCTGGTCCTTATAGTTTTGGGTTTTACTGTGTGTTCTGTACCGTGCGAGGCCCACCGCTCACAGGTCTGGAGGCTGGCAGCGTGTGTTCTGTGCGCTGCCTGAAGACGCAGGAGGGTGGCCTATGCCGTGGGAAAGGCCTGATTTCCAGCTCCAGCGCTAGCTCACCTGTTTGCACCTCAGTTCCTTGCCTGTCCAATGCAATTTTGAGGTCCCTTTCAACTCTGTGGATAGAAAATGTGGGGTGAAAACAACTCGATGAGGTTCTGACTATGTAACTAATGTGTGAGCTTCTGATCTCTCATTCTCTGTCTGCTTCCCCCTGGTGCCTAACAGTCCCCTCTCCTTTGTTAGAAAGACCCCTCTTCTTGGGTTGTTACTGACGGACACATTTTGAGTTGGAGTGTCTTAAGACTACAGTAATTAAAAATAATACATTATACATAGGAAACATTTGATTTTAACTTGCTGCTTGGACTGTATCTAGAAGTCCTGTGTAATGACTCTGCGAACATATATTTCAGAATATGACACAATAATCCATGCATAACAGTGTACAGTTTGAATTATGAACTTAGTCTTTCATGAATTCAGAGGTACTTCTGACACTCCTGCTTTTATCCATTTGGATGGAATTTTGATATAAAAGCTAATAAAACTTTAACAGACTTAACTTCTGTCTTGAAAAGATGCCTGCACTACCTTCTTGTAACCTGTAAATAAATTGCCTCAGAAGCAGTCAGATTTCACAGTTGGATGGCAGGTTTCAGTTCTGAAAACAGCAGTGCCAGTGGGGAGAATGTTATTGCTGTCTTAAAGGGAAAACACGCAACACCATCAACCTTAAAAAAATATTCTTAGCTGGGTCATTTCAGACATATCTAGACTTCTGCTTCTCGAAAATAAGAGAGTCTGCCTGCCATGATGATCCTGGTGAGAATTCTCATTCCATGCCAACAGGGCTGGGTTGGGGAAGAGATGGACTAGATAGTGCACGTCAAAGCAAAAAGGGAACAACTGGAATGAGGAAACCAGTGTTGGGAGCAATGCACAAGCACCACCTTGAGCCAAGAGTTTGTCCAGTCAACAGATATTCAGCACATGTACTACATGCAGGGGAAGCTTAAATGAAAAAGACACTGCCCCTGTGATCATCACTGTCTAGTGTGGGAGACAAAGCAATCTCTGGTTGTAATTTTCAGAGCTTTGGTTAAGCTCTGAAACAGGATTTTAGAGTGACTGATTTAAATCTAAAAGTTGCATTCATAAACCTGATAGCTGCATTTAAAAAACAATAAGTTTTGCCCTGACCACTTTGGCTCGGCGGTTTGTCGGCCTGCGGTCCAGAGAGACCCGGGTTCGGTTTCCGCTAGGGGCATGTGCCTCGGTTGCAGTTTGTCCCCGACCCTGGTCCAACCAGGGTCGTGCGGGTGGCGGCCACTCGATGTGTCTCTTTCACATTGATGTTTCTATCTCTCTCTTCCTCTCTCTCCCTCCTGCTCTATCTGAAAAATGAGAATATATCCTTGGGTGAGGATTAAAAAAAAACAAAACTAAAAAACAATAAGTTTTTATAGATTTTTTTTTTAGAGAGAGATGGAAACATCAATCAGCTGCCCCCCCCCCCCCCGTTTGATTTCAGACCAGGAATCAAACGGGGACCTCTCAGTCCAAGGGATGCTGCTCAATCTTCTGAGCCACACCAGCTGGGCTGATAACTATAGGGTTTTTAAATTTTTATTTTATTTTTAATTCTCACCTGAGGATTTTTTTTTTTTTACATTTATCTTTAGACAGAGTGGGAGGGAGGAGAGAGAGAGAGAGAGAGAGAGAGAGAGAAACATTGATGTGAAAGAGACACATCAATTGGTTGCCACCTACACCACCCCAGCCAGGGCCAGGGACAAACTGCGACCGAGGTACGTGCCCTTGGCCGGAATCGAACCCGGGACTCTTTGGTCCACAGGCTGATGCTCTAACTGCTGAGCCAAACGGCCAAGGCTGATAGCTACAGTTTTAATTAGCATTGTGGTATAGTTGAAAGAATATGACGTGATTATTATATCAAATGAATCAATGTAATGTGTTTTTGAAGTATATGCATATTGATAAGGTTGAACACAATCTGTACTTTTAAAACTCTGTAACGAAGAATTGTTAAGAACATATAGAGAGCTCTACAGTGTAAGCAAGATTTTATCATAGTTATGTACATACATTTGATAATTCAGGAATATTCTTTTAGTAATCTGAAAAACTATAACCATCCCAAGTCTTTTTTTCTTAAATACTTTTGTGGTTCTTTGCCCACAGTTATGTGCTGTTTCTTTAAAAATAACTTTTATATAGTGGGATGAAAAAGCTTTCAGATGATTAAACTGTTAGATGTTTAAATAGGTGGCCTCCAGGAAAATCATTACCCATCCGTAATTAAATAAATCTTTGCTAGTAGCTGTGGGCCAGGCTACATATGCCTAGAGGAGGAACACCTCCATGCAGATCTGAGCCTGTGACTCAGAGTGTTTGTCTTTGGGACTTTGGGTTTGAGGCTCAGATGGAAACCATGGTTTATATTCTCTGACCACACATCTTTCAGTATATATGGCCCGTTCCTCTGTATGGGTAGTTTCCCATACTGCACTGTGCTCCAGTCTTTGGTATTCTAAAAGATTGTGCCCATCGTTTTGAGGGGCTCCTCAGGGGCTCCTGTAGGGGATAACATGTGTTGTGTGGCCTGTATTTTAAGTCAAACTATATAAAAATACTTTAAAAATACGTTCTAGCTGTTTTCATGTGACAGAGTAATAGGCAGGTAGAAACTTAATTTTGCTTCTAGAGATTTGAATTACTATAACCTATAAAATTTAAACTCTGACTTTAATTGCAGTGGTGTTAGAAGTCATCTATGGGGAATACCAAGTTATATATCTTTGCTGTTAATAAAAGAATAATTGGTGCCCTGGCCGGTTTTGCTCAGCGGTTAGAGCGTCGGCATGTGGTCCAGAGAGACCCAGGTTCGGTTCCCGCTAAGGGCATGTACCTTGGTTGGTCGTGCGGGTGGCAGCCACTCGATGTGTCCCTTTCACATCGATGTTTCTCTCTCTCTCTCTCTCTCTCTCTCTCTCTCTCTCTCTCCCTCCCACCATCAAATAATGGAAAAATGTCCTCAGGTGAGGATTAAAAAAGAAAAGAATAATTGATAGACACAGCACCTCCTTGAGTGACTATTTTCCCTGATCTGTTACTAATCTGTCATTATAACCAGTCACATTTAAAAATTTTATAGGAGAAAAGAAAGATTTTTGGTAGTTTTTGAAGGAGATGCAGTAAATTACTTGTTTTATTATATTTATAAGCTACATACATAAGATCTTAAACTTTTGTATTTTAAAGTTCTTCTTTACTAACAGGCTGACTAGTTAATGTATATTCTCACACTAGACCCAGGATAATAATTTTGAAATACAAAGTGGAATGCAGTATATAGAGGGTAAATTGTTTGAGCTACGAAGGCTATAAGTTTTCTTATTTGAAATATAACATTTATAATCACAAGTTTAAATTTATATGTTAATAGGAATAGAAAATATTGATCTTTTGACAAGTGAAATGGGCTGAGGATTGACTCTAAGCATAAGAAATATCTCATGATGACTGATAAAGTCTTACTAAACAAAGCACACCAAATATAAAATAATTTAATTTTTAATCCATGGTTTTTGTTTTATTCAGTGTATCTAAAATTTTTCATTGACCTGCATAACTTTCCAGTTATATTTTGTTTAAGTAAGATTATTAAGGTATAAATGATATACCGTAAAATTAAACATTTTTAGCATACTCAACTTAAAATTTTTTTTTATTAAAATACACACAAAATTTACCATCTTAACCATTTTAGGTATATAATTAAAAATTGTGGCCCGCCTGGTGTGGTTCAGTGGTTGAGCGTTGACCCATACACCAAGAGGTCCCCTGGTTTGATTCCCGGTCAGGGCACATGTCCAGGTTGTGGGCCAAATCCCCAGTGGTGGGCATATAGGAGGTGGCCAGTCCATGTTCTCTCATCAGTGTCTCTCTCTCTCTCTCTCTCTCTCTCTCTCTCTCTCTCTCTCTCTCTCTCCCCCCCCCAAAATCAATAAAGAAAAAAATATTTTTAATTGTGTAAACATTACGTAGTCAATGTGTATAAAGTAAATTCAGAATGTTGTGCACCTACCTACCACCCTTTATCTCCAGAACTCTTCATTTTGTATAACTCTTTCCATTCCCCGCAACCACCATTCTGCTTTCTGTCTCTCTGATTTGAGTACTCTGAGTACCTCATATAAATGGAATCATCATACACATTTGTCTTTTTGTGACTGTTTTATTTCACTTAGCATATGTCCTCAAGGTTCATCCATGTTGTAGCCTGTGTCAGAATTTCCACCCTTTAATTTCCTGCCTTTTTAGGCCGAATCATATTTTATTGTATGTATATGTACCATATTTTGTGTATCCACTAATCCATGGATAGATATTTGGATTACTTTCCCATTTTAGTTATTGTAAATAATGCTGCTATGAACGTATACAACTATGTGTTTGAAACCCTCTTTTCAAATCTTTAGGTTGTATACCAAGAAATAGAATTGCCAGTTCATATAGTAATTCTATTATTAATTTTTTGAGGAACTGCCATAATATTTTCCTCAGTGGCTATACCAGCAGTCATTCACAAGGGTTCTAATTATTCCACCTCCTCACCAACACTTACTTTCTTTTTATTTTAACAAGATGACGTTTATTATTATTTTTATATTTTTGGTTAATCCTCACACGAGGACATTTTTTAATTGATTTTTAGAGTGGGAGGGAAGGATGGAGGGGAAGAGAGAGAGAAAAAAACATCAATATGATTGTGACACATCGATTGGTTGTCTCCCGCAGGACCCCGACCAGGGCTGGAGATTGAACCTGCAACCCAGGCACGTGCCTTGACCGGGAATCAAACCCATGACCCTTCAGTTCGGGGGGGGGGCGACTGCAGTTCAGTTGCAGTGCCAAACTGGCCAGGTCTATTCTCGCTCTGTGATGGTTGTAGGCTGTGTCTGTCTTCTCTAGACTCCTGAGCCACACCTTTCCCTGGACACTATGGTCACTCATTAGTTTCTCCACGTCTGCAGTTGCTTTTGAACTTCCTAGTCTGGTCCCAAAAAAGTGGAAAAAGCAGAAATGAAGGGACCAGAAAAAGCACAATGTCCTTTTTATCTCCTGCAAATAACTTTAGCCAGAGGGTGAGGGGCTTGCAACAGTGGGGGAGGTGTGGCATCAGTGGCCTCCCTCCTCTTTGCCTTTCCTCCTGTGATCTGAGCAGCAGTCAGTGACGTCAGCACTGATCCCCAGTATTTGGAGGACAGGGTCCCTTCTGCCACCTCACTTCTGCAAGATGTGTGCAAGCTTCTCCAGGAAGGTGCACAGTGGCCTGCTGCCAGGGATGCGCGGGGAAGATGGGATGGGGAGCTGCTCTGTGCTAAGGGCTGCAGTTCACCCACGAGCCTTCCATAGACCCCGGAGTTCTGAGATGGTTACATCACACAGATTCCGCCGTTGCAGTTTTTGTGTAGTTGGGGAGACAGATTCCTGATGCTCCCCGCAGTCCTCTGATTTGTCACTTCTCTAAAATCAAACATTGGTTTATAAGTAAAATAATAATCTTAAAAATAATTATTTAAAACCTTTTTATTACTGTGATGGGTTGATGGTGAGGGTGGAAGATAACTTTATGTTCCAACACAGAAAGTTCAAATGTATTGTATTGGCACAAATGCGTCTTATCTGGTAGACATTTCTAACACTGTGGATTTGTTATTAGGGAAGTTAAAGTAGAAATATCAATTTATGTGTTATGTTTTCTTGACAAAGGTCAAACTCCTTGTTTATATTTCACAGACAATTGTGGCAATTAACAAAGACCCAGAAGCTCCAATTTTTCAGGTGGCGGATTATGGAATAGTTGCTGATTTATTCAAGGTAAGCTGGCGTGGAGCGTGATGGTTGTTACCTAGATTGTCATCTGAGAACCTCTCAGAATTAGGGAGGAAGCTGTTATAGGGAGACATTGTGTGTTTGTATATCTATGTGTCTGTCTGTGTATGAATATATGAACATATATGCCCATTTTGAACTACTTAACTTGAAGTTGTCCTAGTGAATACATGATGTTTATGTAGAGCATTCGAACTTTCCCTTTAAGGAGTCTATGTTGTCTTTAAAATATCCATATGGCTCTTGGCATCTCAAGTGCTGAGTTGGTACACAGTGTGAACCTATCGTCCTGTTTGGCATGTACTGTAAAGTTTGCATCAGACTCCCTCATCTGGAGATTTATCATCATGCTATAGCTTTTCAGGAAAAGAGTGGACACTCAAGTCCAGCTTACCTTATTCAACAGGTCTGCTCCACTAGTGTGCTTGAGAGTTAAAGCCTTTCTAACGAGCCAGATATAGGGAGAGCACTACTTTCCCCTGTCACACTCTTCACTCTTTCAGTGTTCTTTCTGCTCTGCTGCTACCTCCATTATTTGTCCTCCCCATGAAATAGATTATTTTAGTGGTATTGATGAGCGCCTGATAACCATTAGATCACATTTAAAGGTTACAGTTTATGCATGACCTGGCCTCTTTTTGTCCCTCAGGGCCTGCCTACAAGCTTCTAGGTTACCTTGTGCAGAAATCACTCATGCAGGGATGGAGGTTCTGAGAGTAGCATCCAACCCTGGGGAAGCCGGTTTGCCGCAGTAAGGAAGCCCTCTATGCAGGGGGCTCCATGGGGAGTCTGCACCCCGAGGACAGAACTGTGGGTGGTCCGCCCAGCAAGGGGGTTGGCTTGTTACTGTGGCCTTACCAGCATTATATACAATCCAGATGAACTAATAGGTGCACATCTGTACTCTGAAGTGCACGTCTATGTTCAGTGAAGGATGTACCCCATAGTGGTTCACTAATTGCTCCGTAAGTAGTGCAGACCTAGAGTAGGGCTGTTGTCTTAGGTGAGCATGGGACATCCTTCCCCAAAGAGCCTATATCTTGCCTTGGGGTCCTGTTACCTGGCCTAACTGTGTAAGGACAAAACAATGGCAGTCATTTGATTGCAAAGCTATCCCAATAAAAGTTACTATGAAAAGGGGGAGCTTTTTGTATTTCTGTACAAGGATGACTTTGTGCAAATTAAGTAGTAAGCATTTAGTTCAGTGAGATCCAATTAACAGGTTAAAAGCTTTTAATTTAATTGAGAGAGCTCAGAGAGGTCTCTTGGTGAAAGTCCTAGGACAGTGAAGTGGAAAGGGACCTGAGAAGTCATCCAGTCAGCGGAGATTCTTAAGCTATTTTTGATGTTTCAAGAAGCCCACACTTGACTACAGTGAGGTTGCACAAAGACAGTGTTTGCTCTTAGGTAGAATTGTATTAAGGTAGTGACTATCTCTTGCCAATCAGAAGCTCTGAAGCAAAATTGTATATGTCTTTGATTAGTACAAAGGGAGAGGAGTTAACTGGTCCTTAAAAATGCAGTCTGGGAAAAAATAGTTAAAGAATGTGAAAATAGCCCTGGCCAGTTTGGCTCAGCAGTTAGAGCATCAGCCTGCGGAGTGAAGGGCCGTGGGTTCAGTTCCGGTCAAGGGTACATGCCTGGGTTGCATGTTCGATCCATGGCCTTGGTAGGAGTTGGACAGGAGGCAACCAGGCCATGTCTCTCTCACATCGATGTTTCTTTCCCTCTCTCCCTCTCTATATAAAAATCAATGAAAAAAAAATCCTTGGGTGTGAGGGTTAACAAGAACAAACAAATAAATAAATAATAAATATAATCACCTAAAAAATGTGAAAATATTGCTTAACTTGCAGCCTCCCATTTGTTTCTACAAGCAAGGTGCGTTCTTTTTAATTTGCCTGTGTTCCCGAGAGATGTAATTTGGGGAAATTACTCAGCAAGTTATTGGCACAACTACACCAGGCTCCTGATTCTGTCCTTTTTCTCATCACTTTGCCTTCCCAGTTCACCAGGTGCTACAGCTGGGATATCCACCACTATGTGACTTTAGATAGGTTGCAGTAAAAAAAAGAACCACATCTTTGACAGACTCGAGGAGCCTAGAGTTTTTTCACACATTGTTTTCTCAGTTGAAATCAGAATCAGTGTAACATAGATGATTATCACAGTAATTCTGACGGAAGAGTGGACACGGTTGTTTAGTGAATGTACTTACTGGGAACACGCTCTGTCTTTTAAAAATCAAATATTTGGCCTGGTGGGCGAGGCTCAGTGGATTGAACATCATCCCATGGACTGAGAGGTCCCAGTTCGATTCCCGGTCAGGGCACATGCCTGGGTTGCAGGCTCGATCCATGCAGGAGACAGCAATCGATGTTTCTATCTATCTCTCCCTTCCTCTCTCTAAAAAATTGATAAAAACATTTAAAAATAGCCCTGGCCAGTTTGGCTCAGCGGTTGGAGCGTCGGCCTGCAGACCAGAGAGTCCCAGGTTTGGCTCCCGCTAGGAGCATGTACCCCCCCCCCCCAAAAAGGCATTTAAAAATAAAAAATTTAAAAGTATAACAACATTTAAAATGTGAATATACCACATTTTGTTTACCCATTCATCATTTGATGGACCTTCTGGTTGTTTCCACGTCTTGGCTGTTATAAATAATGCTGCTGTGAGCATTCATGTCTAAGTTTCTGTAATTTCATCTTGTTGGGGTATATATTGAGGCATGGAATTGCTGGGTCCCTTGATAACTCTACCTTTTGAAGAATTGCCTGTTTTCCAAAGTGGCTGCCCTATTTTACAATTCCACTAGTAATATATGAGGGTCCCAATTTCTCCTAACACTTATTATTGTCTGTCTTTTTTTATTATAGCCATTCCAGGGGGAGCGAAGTAATATTTCATTGTGGTTGTGATTTGCATTATTGGCCATTTGTATATTTTCTTTGGAGAAATGTCTATTCAAGTTCTTTGCCCATTTAAAAATTGTACTGTCTTTTGTTGTTGTAGAGTTACAAGAATTCTTTAGGTATTCTGTAAACAAGTTCCTTATCAAGTATATAACTTGCAAATTTTTCTTCCCATTCTGTGGGTTGGCTTTGCACTTACTTGATAATGTCATTTGATGCACAAAATGCTTAACATTCTGAGGAAGTTCAGTTTATCTGTTTCTCATTTTATAACTTGTGTGGTAGGCATCATTTATATGAAGCTTTTGTGCTTAATCCAGTGCACCGAATACTAGCCTACAAGTATCTGTTAAGTCCTTGCTTCCAGTTCCTTTGGGTATGTACCTTAGGGTGGAATTGCTGGATAATATGGTAATTCTGTGTTTAGCTTTTTGAAGAACCTGCAAACTGCTTTCTTCAGTGGGTGTCCCACTTTACATTCCCACCAGTAGTGTTCCAGTTTCTTCACATCTTTTCAAACATTTTTTATTTACCGTTTTAAAAACCATAGCCCTCCTAGTGGTTGTGAAGTGGTATCTCATGTGGTTTTATTTCCCTAAAGACTAATGATGTTGAGCATCTTTCATGTGTTTATTCGCCATTAGTATATCTTCTTTGGAGATATTGAATTGAGATATTAAATTGAATTGTTTGTATTTTTCTTGTTGGATTTTTTGTTTTGTTTTTTTATCCCCACCCGAGGACATTTTTCCATTTTTTGTACAGATAGAATGGGAGGGAGAGAGAGGAAGGGAGAGAGAGAGAGAAACATCGACGTGAAGGGACATATCGAGTGGCTGCCACCCACACGACCAACCAGGGCCGGGGACAAACTGCAACCGAGGTACGTGCCCTTAGCGGGAACCGAACCCGGGTCTCTCCGGACCACAGGCCGACGCTCTAACCGCTGAGCCAAACTGGCCAGGGCTGTATTTTTCTTGTTGGATTTTAGGAGTTCATATATTGTGGATATTAAAACCTTATCAGAGATATGATTTTCAAATATTTTCTCCCATTTTGAAGGTTGCCTTGCTTTCTTGATTATGTCCTTTGATGCACAGCATTTTAAAGTTTTGACGAAATCAAATTTAAGTTTATTCTTTTGTTTTTGTTCTTGGTGGCATACATACCTAACATCCATTGCCAAATTCCAAGGTCATAACGATTTACCCTTATGGTTTCCTCTAGGAGTTTTATGCTTTTAGCTTTTATAGTTACATTGTTGATCCATTTTGAATTAATTTTTGTATAGGATGTGAGGTGAGGGTCTAGCTTCATTTTTTTGGCATGTGACTGCCCAGGTGTTTCAGCACCATTTTTGTTGTAGAGACTGTTCTGTTTCCCATTGATTGGACATGGCACACTGTTACTGCAAAGGAGACCTGGCCCTGAGCAGGTTTGCCTAGGGCCAGCCAGAAGTGTGTGGGTTTTCAACTTTGTGCAGGAATATTTTCACAACATGAATCCAAGTAACTATGAAGGAATGCTTATTAAAGCTGGGGACAGTGAAATAAGGAAGGGTTTAGCATAGAAGAAGCAACAGGAACCTAGACTGGGCTCCCCAGGTCTCTGGGAAGTCGGAGAAAAAGGGGGTCATTGGGAACAGGTTCAACGTTAGCCTGCAGATGAGTTGCCACTGCCCAGTGCTCCCCTGGTTGCAGTTCTTGTGGGGCCCCTAGAGTTTAGGAGGTACCTCCCTGTAGAGGAAGAAGAGAGAGAAGAAGGGAAAAGGGACTGGTGGGGTTGCTCCCCAGAGGGAGAGCACACTAGGTCCTTTGTCTTGAGGTTTTCTGGGTGTGTTCCTTCAAGGTCGTGGTCCTCACTGATAGGTCAGTGTCAGGGCAGGGCGTTGTTAGTCATTGTGTCTGGCCCTGGTGTCATCCATCTGGTTTTGCTGCTCTTCTGGGTCTGGAGCTGAAATAGATGTTGTTATCTCCAGGGAGGTGACCTTCTGTATCTGCTGTAAATTGCTCTGCCAGTTTGTTCAGCTCTGTCTCAGTCTCCCTGTATCACTTGTCCTGGTGACTGGCCTGTCTCAGTACCACCTGTGTCTTTCAGCTTGCACCAGTCCCAGCACAGCTATAGACCAGAGTGGGAGGAGTGCTGCCAGTGCTGGGTGTTGCCTGAGCTAGTGCCTGCTGGCTCCGTGGCGAACGGCCTTTCAGTGGGCTGCAGACAGTGACGTTTGGAAGAAACAACATGTCGACAATCTCCTTAATAAATTTTGTACGAACACATTATTTCCACATAATGGAAATGTAGCTCTCTTAAATAATTGAACGGCTGTGTTCATCAGGGGGTGTGCAGCTGGGATCTTGGTGCGCTAGGATGGTTGACAGCCCCTTGGAAGCCTGGGTAACTGATATTTTACACAAGTGGCTCCTGGTGCTTAGGTGGGCCGTGGGATGCCCCCCCGCAGTCCCCACACACAGCTCGCCACCATTGCCCAGGCTGTCGCAAGGAGCTCCACACTAAAAGCTGCAGTTGCAGCCACTGAACTGCGAAGACTCAAGGGTTGGTAAATAGTCCTTTTTAACATGGGCGCCACCTCGATCAGTTTCTCTCGCTGTGCTTTCTCACTCTGTCCCTCTGTCTGCTAGCCAGCCACTGCATTAGCAGAAGGCTTTGATTTCACAGAGGGAGGATCTTCAGTGTTCAGCATACAGCTCGTTGTGCATGTGCCAGAAGATAGTGACGAGCTGCGTGTGTAGCAGCAGTGTTTGTGAGTGGTGAGTGAGCAAGAGAGGTTTGAGGAGGCTGACAGGAGTCATAACTGAGCTAGAGACAGTGTGAGGCCTTTGAACGAAAGGCGGGAGTGCAGTGTGGAAGGGGGTGCTGAGAAACTCAGGTACCTGGGCACGCACAAAAAGCACTGCGCTTCCTGTTTTGTGAGGAACCTTTCTGAGGTTTGTGATTGTGTCAGAAAGGCTCCCAGGCAATGAGTTGGTTCTTGGCCCTGCCCAGGGGTCTCTCCCTCCAAGGTGTGTAGGTGCCCATGATGGAGGAGAGACAAGGAGGACGGAGTGCCTGGGGGGAGAGCAGGCAGGTGGGCCTCTAGAGGGTTCTTCCCTCTGTTGGCCCCGAGGGCTTCCTGGGGGTGGTGATGTGTGAAGGCTCTAGTGGCTTCATCACTGTACTTATTTTTTTTTTTTTTTAATTTGCAGGTAGTTCCTGAAATGACCGAGCTATTGAAGAAAAAATGAGTCGTGATCATGTCTTAAGAAGAAAAATTATGAGAGTATTCAGCTGAAATGATAGATATTCATGGCTTTTATAACAATCAGTGGGAAGCTGCATTTCTGACAGATGCCAGAAGGCTTGTTTATGGGGCTGTCATGTTTCTTTTTAAGTGTGATTCCAAACAATTATTTTTGAAATTTTCTAATTCTATAATAAAATACATAATAAAATCTTTCCACAGCTTTAAAACGACTACCAGAAATATGCCTAGCTTCATGAAGAGAGAGAGAAATTGAAGAAAGGGAGTAAGGATTCATTTATTTTTTCCTTCACCTGACTTGTTCATGAGGGCTCTGTGAGGCAGGATGGTAAACATGGTGTAGCCACCATCCTAATGCACCTCTCCTAGTCAGGAGGAGGGAAGTGGGCTGGCAGAGGCAGAGGTGAGAAAGCGCGGCCCAAAGCATGAAGGTGTCTCAGTACCCGTCTTCAGAAACCACAGCTGGCGTGACAGAAGCACTGCAGAGCTCAGCCCGACCCTGCTGAACGTGCGTGCTGACTGAAGTGAATTACTTCCCATGTCACCTCACGGTTTTGTCAGCTTACAGCTCTTTGCGACTGTGAAGGAGGGGAGTGGAGGGGAGAGGCAGCCTCCAGACAGTGCGGCAGGTAGTCCGACAATTTGTGATTGGTCAGTGTTGAGTCCCACTCCGGGACGCTCTGCTGTGTTTGCCCCTCATGGCTTCCTTTGCTTTCAGAGAGCAGCCAGGCCTGCGAGTCACCACACGTGTGCTCAGCCCAGCACTCAGCTGCCCTAGAGTGTGGCTGAGATCGAGTCTCTCACAAGAAGCTAGAAGTTGTGAGAGCAAGCCCAGGACAAGTCGGAGAGGCTTAGGCCAGGCCTGCAGGAGGGTGTGGGCTGCTGGAGGGCCAGCATAGCGGTGCACTGAGATGGAGCTGTCGCCTGATGGCCGGTCTGCAGCAGTCACAGGACTTCAAGCACAAGGGGCAGCAGGGAGGAGCTGGGAAGTGGCCGGTGATACATGAGGGAGGGGCGGAGGGACCAGCTGGAGCTGATGCGCCGAACCTTTTTGATCTGTGTCATAATCAGTCCCTTGCTGTGAAACACTTTTTAAAATTAAATGTCTGGCATTTCAACCTTCCGTCAACAAGGTGAGAGGAGGGGGGTGATGCTTTTGTGGGAGCCATAGGTCCTAGTGCATCCGAGCTGCGCAGTCCCCGGTCCAGCCCCTGTACAGAGAGAGTGCTGTGGAAGAAGTGAGGAAGGTAAAGTGACTTGTCCAGGGCTACGTGGATTGAATCGCCCTCGGGAAAGTGATTCTGGTTACAGTCCTTGAAGCTCCTCCCAAGGGAGCTCCTGACCTTGCTCAGGGTCGTCCCCATGTACCCCCCCCCATCCCTGTTGGACATGATAACGGGGAATAGGAGAGACAGCAAAGGGAGGACTGTCCCAGGTGGTACCAGCATGGTTCCTAGACTCAGAGTTGAACTGGGTCTGTCTCCACTTTGACTTCTTCCTGTCGTGACTACTCCAGCCACAAGCAGCTGTTCATTTAACATTTACCGGGTGCAACTTATCGCTCTCATAATACATAAGTGTGGTGCTTACCGTATGGCAGGCGCTGTTCTAACACTTCATACACATTAAACCCCTCAGTCCTCATAACACCCAGTGAAATAGATGCTATTAAATATCCCTATTTTACAGATGGGGAGGCTGAGTTACAAAGAGGTAATATAACTTGCCAAATTCAGTTTAGAAATGAGAACCCGGATTTTAAACCAGGAAACCTGGCTTCAGAGTGGTGGCATCACCAGTGTGAGCTTCAGGCTTGCCTCGGCTGCAGGAGCAGGGAGACGCTGCACAGTGCCCTCAGGTAAAGTTCATTGAGTGCTGGGTCCTCCGGGCGGGGTGGGGCACACAGGATCCTCGTGGAGAAGGAGATACGGCATTCTGGGCTTGTCTTTACAGCAGCACTTTATTCAACTCCAAAACCCCTCTGTGCCCACTTAGACTTTTCCTTTAGAAGGCAGTGGTGTGAAGTGGGGACAAATTGTTAAAAATGTTACATGTGCCAGAAGGTGTGGTGTCATTGTCCTTTTTACCCATGTGTTTTATTGGAAACAAGCTGTCAGTTCCTAAGGACTCTGCCCTGCATCTGTCTTGAGGGCCCAGAGCTGCAGCTTGGGAAGCAGTGTGGGCAAAGGGCAGGGGCAACTTTTTTTGGCGTGTGCTTTCCCTGCCTTTCTCCCAGGTCTTTTGAGGTCTCTGGCCAGCCCCATACAGCTCCTGGGAATTCGATGGCCTGGTCACTTGGGCAGAAATCTGCATGGAGAAAGGAAGCCCAGAGAGGGCATCTGGCTCAGGAGGATGACCCTTCACTCAGCTTTCCAGTGGTCGAGAAAGCACAGGGTCCAGCTTTTCTCCTGGTGCTACAGGCTCAGCAGTTCTTACAGCATGTCCCTGCTGGACACCCTGGTCACCCGCTGTGCTGTGGGCTCTGGAGCAAACACCCAGGAGAGTGTGGCCCAGCCCTCCCTGGAATGGAGAGAGTGTGGTCCTGAGGGAAAGCAGCACCCACTGGGCTCTGAAAATACAGGCATCTGGGGCCCTGCGCTCAAGATTTCACAGCAAGCAGGAAAGACGAGACGAGACGCGGTGGTCAGAAAGCAGGCGGCCTGAAGTCAGCATGAACAAGCGCGTCAGCATGAACAGGGCCCTTCCGGAAGCCTGCCTGTCACCCCATGTGGGGCAGAGGTGGAAACTGACATCAGAGCTCACATAGATGATGGAGGCATGAGGGGCAGGAACATGGGGGTGTGCATACCAGGAAGGGGTTTTGAAGGAGATTGATGGACTGAGGAGTTTTGCCTTTTACCTCATAGGTGAGTGGTTCTCAGAGTTTGCCCTCTAGTAGTACTGCCGTTTCAGGAGCCAGACCAGAGGTGCTTCTGTGAAAGGCATATGTCTTTCTGATTTGCAGGAAAAATTAATAGAATTTTCGCAATTTTAGGTCTTCCTTACATGTGTTTTCTAAAACTTTGATAGCTGCTATTCCTTAGGAATGTAAACAGATTGCAAAGTGAGTGGACAAATAGCTGGTGAGTTTTGTTTTTAATCCTCACCTGAGGATATTTTTCCATTGATTTTCAGATAGAGTAGGAGGGAAGGGGGGAGGGGGAGAGAGAAAGAGAGGGAGAAACATCGATGTGAGACAGACATATTGTTTGGTTGCCTCCCACACAACTTGGACCAGGGCTGGGGACCGAACTGCAACTGAGGTACGTGCCCTTGACTGGAATTGAGCCTGCGAGTTTTTGGTCAGAGGGCCAAAGCGCTAACCCCTGAGCAAAACTGGCCAGGGCAGCAAATGTGTATGAACTGAGGTGGTCAGCAGCCACAGGCCCTGCACCGCTTGTTCAGTGGGCATGTTGATTACTGTTCCTTGTTTGTGTGTTAGAATTAAATATATTAGTACATCAGGAATGTTCCACAAAGAGCTGCATGACTTTTTGAGGCCCTGCCTTCCTCCTGGCAACAGGGGCCATGGACATTTTGTGAGGAAGGCTGGGACCTGACCTAGAGGAGTAACCTGACCCTGCAAGGAAGGGATGTGATTAGGAGGCTATTGCAGGAATCCTGTGGCCTTGTGCCCTGGATGGGTTTGGCTGAGAGCTCTTTGGTTACAGAATGTGTCCCCAGAGACCGGAAATGGTCCAGAGCTGTGGGTGAGGCTGGCAGAGAGGTGGGCGGGCCCTTCCTCCCAGGCTCCTGGGAGTGTGCTGCCTGCAGAGCCTGGGTGTGTCTGTGCTGGGGTTTGAAACCCCAGCTGTAAGTGCTCTCTCTCCTGTCTTTCTGAAAGGGATGGTCGGACAGGCTGCATTTCACACTGTCTCTCCTGAAGGGTGGTGGTTTTGATCTGCGTCACAGTAGGGTTAGGAGCCTGAAACACCCAGAGGACACTCTTTTGATTATAACAGGTGGATTTGACCAGCTGAAGGGGACTTGACTGATAACCTTGTAGAAAGCCCGTTAGGGTGATACACTGCTACAATTTCGTATATCTCTAGGTTTTTAAAAACATTTTGCGGGAAACCTAAATGTCGAAGAGTTGCTGATAACCCTTGGTTTATAAAGTAATTTCATTTAAGGTACTGCATCAGGGTGGAAAGGGTAGGAAACCAGGCTGTCAGTGGAGAATGCGATTTGCCCAGTCACGAAGTAAGTGGTAGAACTGAAACACAAACGAGAACTGGCCAATATCACCAATAAGAACCTACTAGGCGCATTGTCTATCCTTTTCTAATGTGGCGACCCAAAAAGTGGGTGTCATTGCCCCGCTTTCTGGATGAAGAAGTTGGCTGAGAGGTGACTGACCAGAGAAGTAGTCAATGAGATGTGGAACCTGACCTGGACTCCAGGTCTGGGCAGTTTACGCTGTGCCAAGCTGTCCCCTACATCTTCCAGCTTCTGCATGACTCCATTCTCTGGTTTGTCATCAGAAGCATGGAGCAGTGACTGAAGGAGGAATCTCGTGGGAAGGAAGCTGGCATTTCCTTCCTGTGGGCCTGGGTTGGTGAGCAGTCAGGCCCCGGTGAGGCTCACATGTCTCGGCCTCCCGCCACTCACTGGTCACATGGTTAAAGGGAGGTTCCTGCTGCACTGTGCACTTGTCCCCAGTCCCCAGCTTGCAGGGCTTCTCCGCTTCCCAGTGCGGGCTGCACGGGGACCTGGGACCACAGGGAGGGCTGAGCACTGAGCGGGTTGGTCACCAGGACACTTGGATTTTTGCTCTGGTTCTCTCATTGCTACAGACGCAGCCTAGTGTTATTTTCCATCTCCTTTACACATCATTTCCATCATGTATAAAATGGCAAGTTGGACTTGGTAGTCTTTTAAGATGTCTTCAAGTTTTAACCTGTGATTGTGCAGGCAGATCTCAAACAGCCATGGTGATGGTAATTATTTTTGAGAGCTTTTTATGCTCAAGATTCTGTGCTGAATCTTCTACATATATTTTCTCTTGTAAGCCTCATAACCCTGCAAGGTGTAGTGTTATTCCCCACTGTCCTATGAGAAAATGAAAAGGATGCACAGCCAGTACCACATTCCATATCCCGAGTCCCTCTTTGGGAGAACAGGGGAGGCACCTAACTTAGCCTGGCACAGTGGAGGGAGTGACATGAGACAGGAGCTG